GACGGAGACAACGACAGCGTCGTGGCTCTCGCAGTGCGAGAGAGAAAGGTTACGGCCGGTGCTCTGCATTCCGCGGGGCATATCGCGACCGCCACGTCTAAGGCCGAACCGCCGCGGCGGCGCCATGCATCGACTTGATCGTCATGATCGTCATCGGCGCGACCGGCCGGGCGAAAGCTGGAACCAGCGGCGCGTCCTCGCCTGCCTGGAGCCGGGAACGTGGAACCTGGTGGAACCCACAGGCCAGGTCCAGGGACGAGCCCCCTCCCCGACACGAAACGCTTTTTCGGCGGTCTTCATCATCGCGGCGACGCGGGGCGACGCGGTTCCGCGGGGACGCCGCCGCCGTCATCGGGGATTTAAATGGAGGGGGTGGGGAGTGAGAGTTCCCTTCCCTCGTAGCGCCGCAGCGCCGTCACGACCCAGCAGTGCAACAAGTGAGAGTGGCTTGGCGCGGAGCGGCGGCAGCTAGCGGCAGCCAGCGGCAGCGGTCTCAACCGGCACTGTCACCAAAGTCCGGCAGTTCGCAGCCCGCGGTCCCGGCGCCGTGGTTTGTTTGTTGTTGCCGCGGACCGACTGCCCTATTGTTGTTTATTTAAGTGCCCCCGCCACGGCGAGCCGGCCATTTAAAGGCCTCTAAAGAAGGAGGTAACAACCCGTAATTTGAAGCAATTAAACCATCCACCGGACAATGATGTCCCAGCGACGTTTCGAAAAATGTATAAAAGTTTTGTTTTGAAACACTAACGAAGGCAGTTACAAATGAAACTTAAATGCATGCATTGTTTGCAAACACGCAATTTTGAGTTTTAACCAGTTTTAAGTTCTCGGTAGGAGGGTTGCGTCCGCTGGCTGTCCCGCCGTGCCCGTCTGTCTACCGAGCATCCGCGTGCGCGCCTCAGTGGTCGTCCACACCGCATCTTGGAGCACATCGGCCAAACCACTTGTGAGATCACAGATCCGTGGCCGCGGCCGACTGGGGGTTACGGACGAGCCAGACAGTAGTGTCGCACAGCAGTTCGATCCCGAACAGTGCTTTCGTCGCTCTGTCTCTCTCGCGCCCCGCGGACTGGCCCACGCGTGCGAGAGGGACGGGGCGACGAAGCGGTAGTGCGGCGCACCGGAAGGCGGTGCAGCAGCAGTGCGTCTGGCGGTGCAGTCTGGCAGTCTGGCCCACACGGGCGGGGCGGGGCGCCGCCAGCCGAGCTGTGACCTCTCGAGGCCCCCGCCCGCCACGCCCCGCCACGCCCCGCCCCACCCCACCACGCCCCGCCACGCCCCGCCGAGCCCAGTAACATTGACCCACTCCCGCGGCGTGACGTAACGCGGCAACGCGGCCCCCTCCCTGCGGCGCGGTGCCGCGGTGCCCCGGCGGTGCGGCCCGCTGCCATGCTGGCCGTGCTGCCGGCGAGCGGCGAGGCGGCGGGGCACTGTGCGGAGGGAGGGGAGGGTGACGTCACGCCGCGGCTCCAGCCGCTCCAGCCGCCACAGCCTCCAGCGTCCGTGTCGTCTGCTCCGCGTTCGCGCGTTCGCGTTCGGGGCGCTAAGCCGCCTTCGAGGAAACCCTCCACGTCGACGCGGTCCGAGTCCCGCCACCGCAACAGTTTTCCGCGTCTTCCTTCCGCACCGCACGGCCAGCCTGACTCCGAAAGATGCTCTCGTCGCACTGTCCATCTCGCACTCATGGAGCGTCCCGTAAGGGTGCGAGCGAGACAGCGACGAAAGCAGGGCGCAGCGGGGACCGCGATGACGTGGCGGCGGAAGAGAGCGGCCGGTCTAAAAACTACCTTGGCCGTTGCCGCGTTGGGCAGGTTCAAGGATGGACTCGACGGCCGGCGCCGCGCGTCACCGCGCCCGGCTCGGCTCGGCTCGGCCAGGCTCGGCCCACCGCAGTCAGCCTTTTGACCCTGACTTTAGTGCTCTGTCTTGGTCAGCCAGCCAGGCTCCGCGCGCCGAGCCGCGCCGAGCGAACCTTCAACCTGCGTGCGGGATCGTGCCTACACTGTCGCGGATCAGACGAGCCGCACCTCCCGAGGTGGGGCAGCCACCTGCTGGGGTGGAGGCCTGCAACCCCTCCCGGGGGGATGTACACCTCTCTGACTGCTCACACTGCGAGAGTGGGAACTTGTACCCGCTTGAGGTTTTTTCTCCACCGGTAGAACGTTTCACCCTAGTAAGGACGGCCATGTCTCGTTTTGCAGTGCAGCGAGCGTGTGTCGGGCCCGAAAACGGCATACGGTCAGTGTGGTCTAGCCCGTAATGGTAATGGTAATGGGTAAGACGCCTGCGGCGTAGGCACGCCCGCCGTGCTGCGGTGCGCTGCAGCCCCGCTGGGTTGCCTACCCCGAGGTCCGCAGGCGGCGGGACACTGCTCTATTTTTAGCAGACGTCTCAGTCACCTTGAACGTACGTGGAAAAGCAACATTGAGGTGTCAGTTTGCTTTTACTCTGGAGTCCAGAAAATAACCTCATAATTGCTCAATAAGTTTTTCGCGCCAGAAAGAGTGACGTCCCGCCCGACGCAGCGGCGGCGGTCCGTGGCGGTGCAGGGCTGCGGCAGGCTGCGGCTGCAGGGGCGCGCGGCCTTGGCGGTGCACTCTTGGCCGCGGGCACTGCCGGCCACTGCCGACCGGGCGGCGTGGATGCGTTTCCGACTGACGTGCGCGCACGCGTTAGCTAGCGTTAGCCTTCCGATGCCGGGTTAATTTTGGCCGCTCTCCGCGCACACAAAGTTGCAGGCCGTCGGGCCGCGCCGTGACAGCGCTGCGCACGCTGCGCCACCACACTGCTAGCCGCGTATTCTTTTCGCTGAAAAACAACCTCCCCCCCCCCCCCCCCGCTCGGTCGTCATAGTGCAACTACTGCGTAGTTCGTCCTCTCTCTCTGTGCCTCCTAAATTCCCGGAGGGTGTCAGTGCGGGGAAATGGTGAGGCAGAAATTGTCATTAGATCCCTGAAAAGATTGCAACTTATTTTAACTTATTTATCACCGTATTTATCACTTATCACAGCGACTCTGGAGCTCAAAACGCGCCCAGAGTTTTGGCCGCCTCCACCGGTCTTCTGGCCCACTGTGCGGTCCGCCCTCGCCCCTTCGCCCTCGTTAGCAACATGGCCCGTCCTTGCGGCCGATGTTAGCCGCCCGTTTACGTCTTGCTGTTAGTTTATTGTGGATGCAGGCCGGGGGCAGGGGCAGGGGCAGGGGGAGGGGCTCACACCGCCACTCGCCGCCGACGGGCCGCTTATTTGCGTCGTTGCATCGCAGTGGTCGCCACACTCCGCATTGTGCAGGTCGGTGTAGGAGCAGCCATCGCCCCGCGGCAACATTTTGGCATCGTCGTTGTCTTATCGCCCCAGGCTGGCAGGCGAGAGAAGCCCAAGACGTACGACAGTTTCAAACATTGCTTTTTAAAACTTTCGCTCTCAAGTTTCAAAACATGCGAGCCACTTTTCCTATCTTTAGCCGAATTGTCAATGAATGACAGCATGTTTGGTAGAGAGAGCCGGACAGCGGGGGTACCGACGTGGTTCAAACCATATCCCGCGGAAAGCCATGACGGGTGACGGGTAGGTCCACTGGGAGGCTCGAATTTTGGGAGGGGGGATCTACCAGTGTGGAGGGATATACGACCCCAAGTGACTCCAGGCCAGGCTCCAAGCCACGACCCTGGATGGGGTCGCGACCCCTACGTTGAGAACCGCTCCCAGTGAACTCGGCCCGCGTGCGACTAGGTCGCCACAGTGTAGCCGTCCTGTTTTCAGAAAATGTATTTTTCGGCGGCGCGCCTTCCGCCACGCGTCCCGCCCGTGTTCAAGGTTTACTATTGGCCTCCTGGTCGCCGTGTTCGCACCGCCGGCGGACGCGGCCGACGCGGCGGACGCCCACAGAGCGATAAACTATTTCTGAACGCGCTCGGCCAGCCGAAGATCTAGTATTCTGTCACTGTCTGCCCGGCCTTGAGTGCAACGCGAGAAATGCGTCGTTTTCAGGAAAAGCGGTGTGCGTGTGCGCGAACCAGGAGCATGCTGTTCCCGTGACAGGGCGAGAGGGGTAAGCAAGTAAAATGCGAACAAACAACTGGGTTCTGACTGAGCTAAATATATTTAAATATGTAATCAGTCGAAGCGTTTTTAAAAAATCATACAAAATTATCAGACGAAAACTTAAATTGATTCATTGTGTTGTACACAGCCAGTCAAATTAAACCTAAAACGGTAACACAGAAAACACGATCAAAAAATAGTGGTCGATGATTGAAAAACATAAAAACAAACTCGCTCAGTCCGCCTGCGCGGCCTGCGCCCTCCTCTCCGTTTCCTGCTGGGCCGTGGTCAGAAGCTGGACGTAGACGACGTGCTCGCCGCGCACCAGCACCTGGTTCATGTGGCGCACGCACTCCTGCGGGATGGGAAAGGCAGTTAGCGACCCGGGACCCGTTAGCAAGTCTGTGCAGAGCGAGGGGGGAACAGCTTCCCACATTCGTTGTACAAAATTTGGCCACATTCCACATTCAGGCGGCTAAAACGCCTGTAAGTAGGCAACATGTGTGGCAAAAACGCCAGAAATCTTGCACATTCTTGCACATTCACACAATCATTGTACACAAAATTTTACAGTGGGTCACCCCTCGGTGCAGAGACTTGGAGATTGAAAGAGTAAAGCTGCTGACCTGGCGCTTGCCGTGGGACCTCCAGAACACCTTGGGCAGGGGCGGCCAGTCGGCGAGCGCCTCGTGCGTCCGCTTGCCGCGCCCCTTGGCGCCGCTCTGCAGCGCGCCCGCCGACAGCTCCTGCAGGGACACCAGCTGCAGCGGGTCCGGCAGCGTGGCCGTCGCCGTCGTGGCGGCCGCCGCCGTGGTGGTCGTCGTGGTCGTCGTCGGGCACCCGGCCGCTGCCACGCCGCGCTCCTGCTTCACGAGGCCTCGTCCGCGACCCCGACCGCGACCCCGGCCGGGCAGGCGCTCCGAGACGCCCAGGTCCGCCAGACGCTCGCTGAGCGCCGAAACCGCCTGGGGGTCACCTGCGAAAGACAATGAGCATAATAAAGGTGAGCCTGCCGCGGGGCTAGGCGAGGGGCCCGCCAAGGGCGGGCAGGCACCGCCGCGCCGCGCCACGCACCTCCCCGATCGACGCGTTCAACGCGTTGGACGCGTTCAACAACCCCCAGGAAGAGAAACCGGACGGCCCAACGCAGACGAGCGGGCCGTGGAGCCGCGGAGCCGCGGAGCGCACGCGCCGCACGCACGGCGCGCATGGGCGAGGAAGGCCGGGCACTCACCCAGGAAGGCAAGGCACTACACTGCACTGCTGCACGGCACTGCGCGGCACTGCACGCCACTGCAAGGCTGCAGCAGAGCGAGACGACGGCGCGCGGACTAGGCAGGCGGCTCGAGGCAGCGGACAGAGACATGCGGATAGACAGGCGGACAGACAGGACCGCGCGGCTGACGCGGCTCGCACAGGGACGCGCGCCCGGCCGAGTGCACTGCGCGAAACGCGTCGATGGATCGACTCTCGGATCGATGATGACGTCGCGGTGGCGCTCGATGACGTCACGCCGCGGCCTCGGCCTGCCTCGGCCACGCTATGGCTGCGCCGCCTTGGCATTGCGTTCACAATTAATGCGCGCCTGGCGAGGCGAGGCGAGGCGAGGCGAGGCGCTTTGAGGCAGGTCAGCACGCGAAGCAGCGCGAAGCGACGCGAAGGCGAGTGCGTCGTGACCGCGCGCCATCTGTCGCACTCCACTGCACTCTCTGCAGGGCACCCCGCTGCAGCTGCTGCAGCCCAGCCAGGCATCTCCGCCAAGTATTTCGGTCTCGGCGACCACGCCGGCGGCCCCGCGGCCCCGCGGCCTACCGCAAGGCGACTGCGTGGCGTCCTTCCGCGAGCGAGGCGCACTTCCTCGTCGGGGTCCTTGGATCGCCGCGCCGCGCGGGCCGCGAGTCCTTGACCGTGCGCCGGGCTTCCGGGCCAGGCCGCCGCGCCGAAACCGGAGGGCGGCGCGGGGCGGCACTGGTTGGCGGCGTCGCGGACGCGCAGTGCCGCCACCCAGCGCGAGGATGGTGGCGCGGCGGCGCTCCGGCGATGCAACTCTTGGCTGCAAAAGTGCAAGTGAAAGCTCCCTGCACCGCGCCGCTCCGCTGCGCCGCTCCACCGCCGCGCCACCGGGTGGCCGAGAGAGAGAGGGAGAGAGAGAAGAGACAGAGAGAGGGGGGGAGGGAAAGAGGGAAGGGCTTCCTCTTTCCGTCTCCGTCTGCGCCTCCGTCGCGGCCATCCCGGCCGACAGCCTCATTAGTGGACGATCAGCTGCATGCCGCACTCCGTGTCCACTACACTACGTGTCCACTACACTACGAGTCCACTACGTGTCCGCGGGGAGGGTGGCCGTCTTGGTGGCCGTCCGTCCGGGCGGTGGCGGCTGCTGCCGTTGCACAACGACTACATCACCGCCAAGTGCAGACGAGTTTGTTTGAAAAGGAACCAACTAATCTTTGGTGTTTCGTCTCGCTTGCAGGTGAGCCCGGCGACGGGACGGGAGCTGCAACGCACACTGCGGTCGTGCGACGAAGGGTAAGGGGTCCAGCCATTGGGCCTTCGAAGCGATGCGAGTTGAGGGTGAAAATCAGAATGCCCATGAAAGCAGACGACACCCAAAGTCTGCATTATCTCGGCGCAAAGTGCCACTGTGGTTTTCAAAATGGGATCCTGATTTGATGGCCAGGGCCGCGCGGGCCGGGCAGCAGCCTCGGGCGGCGCGCACACTGTGCCGCACAGGCCACACACCTACCCACGAAGAAGTCCTTGGCTCTGCGGGGCGCGGTCCGGTAGAAGACTTCCGTGACGTCGGCCATGGCCAGGTTCCAGTGCTTGTCGAACAGCACCACGTAGCCCTCCAGGCGGCCGTGCACGCCGCGCTCGTTGCGCGTCACCACCTGTCGGGGCAAAACAGACCAATGAGATGAAGTGGGAAACAGCGGGGGGCGCCGGTCAGTGGAGGGACGCTGCGTCGCGGTGCGTCGCGGTGCGTGCTTTACGCTGCGGTGGACGGCGGATGGCGGATTCCACGGTCAGATCGTCATGGCGACGAGGCCCGGCGGGACCGGCGCGTGCTGGCCATTAAACGGGCCTCCGCCTTGCTTCGCGCTTCGCCTTGCTGCCTTGCGCCGCGGCCTGGCCCAGCCTGGCCTCCGCCAAGGATAGCGCGGACCAACAACACGCCGAGCCGAGCGCGGCAGCGCGGCCAGAGAGGCTGGCGGGAAAGTGCGAAAAGCGGCCAAACTGCGACGTTGTATTGGCGGGTGCGGGCGGGTGTGGGTCGGTATGGGTGCGTGTGTGTGAGAGAGAAGGGGAGAGAGAGAGACCAGCGCGCACCTTTCGCGCCGCAGTGACTGGCGACTCCTCTTGTCGACGCGCGGTCCAAAGAGGTGCGCACACACACGCGCGTCGTGGTCTCGCACAAACACGCACACACTCTCACTCACACACAAAGAGCACGCACCGCCGGGGCTGAGTGGGCTGTGCGGCGGGCCTAGTCCCGATTGAGGACAAGGTCTGGGACTCGGTACGGAGGCCTGGGCCATGGGCACGCTGTGGAGGGGAGGGGAGGGGCGGGGCGGGGCCGGCCGGCAGGACCTCCAGTTTTGGAGTCGCGGAAGTCGAGTCGAGTCGAGGCGTGGCGGGGCGGGGCGGGGCGGGGCGGGGCGGGCGGGGAGCCTAGTCGAGGCGAGCGGCGCTGTAAACAAGCAACACTTTTATTAATTCGGCCCACCCCGCCACTGTCACTCCATTCCACCGTACCTATCGCCGCCTTCGCGTGTGCGCGTCGCGCGCGTCCTTGCGAGGCCGACTTGCAAAAACAGAAAAAGAAACGTTGCAAAACTTGGCACGCCGCGGCACGCCAACGGCACGCCATGGGCTTGGGTTATGAATTGGCCGATCGGCGCCAAACATGTCCCTTTCAGGGGCAGACACGGTCGTGACGGCCGCGACCCCGGCGAGCCGCGCCACGCGCACGCGCCCCCGCAGCCCCGCAGCCCCGCACCGGCCGCACGCAGGGGGCCCTCGTGGCGCCGAGCACCGCGCCGACAACGCGCCGGCAACGCGGTGACGGTCAAGGATGGCGCCGCCGCGCTGCGCCGAGCCGCCGAGCCCAGCACACTGCCATGCGGGCCATAGGGGCGACGCGTCTGTGTGAGTGGCGCTGCCATACAAGGTGCGCGGTGCGGCGGCGGGCAGGGGGAGGGGGGAGGGGGAAGCGGCGGCGGGCCGTGAGCAAGGACGAAATGTGGCCGCCACCTTGCCACTACATTCGCTTCCAGCTGCACCGCGCCGTGGCGTGCCGCGCCGAGGGTTAGGTTAGGCCCGCCCGCTCACCTTGCTCATGGCCTTCCCCGCCGCGTCGCGCCTCGGCGCGCTGCCTGCCCCGTCCGCCCCGCCTGCTTTGCTTACGACTGCCGAAAAAGGCAATTACGGAGAAAGCGCTCATCATTGTGAGTGCGCGTGCCGCGGCGTGCCCGTCGAACTCCCTGCAATCCGCGAAGGATGAGGAGGGACCCACTGCGTCAGCACGACTGGACGGGACGCAGCACTGCCAAAAAAAGGGTTCAAATCGCAAAAGAAGCAAACAAAAACAATCCCAATAACTTTCGCACATTACGTTGACATTAAATTTAAGGGCCGAAATATGATACAGTCGTGCCAGTTTATGAAAATATATAGTACAATTTATTAAAAAATAACTTAAAACGCTTCAAAAAAATTAAATTAAGATTTTTCTAAAATGACAGAACTGGTCTCCCCGCTTCTCTGGAAAAGCTCATGTTATTAAATATGACTCGTTTCTTTTCTATCTGTGTACCCGATCGTTCGACCATCAGGATGCAAAAGCCGTCCCGGTCCTGGGTGACGTTTTCACCCGGCCAAACGACCATGGGCGTCCGCGCGTCCGCGTGTCCGCGCGCCGAGGTGGGGGAACTTTCGTCCTTGTCCTTGCCCGACCAAGGTTCGGCGGGCCGGCCGGGCCCCTGGCCAGGACTGCAGTCGGCCGGGAGTCCTGCCAGACAGACGTGCACTCACAAAAAGACGGCCGTTGTGGTTTTCCTCGCCGCCACGCAACGGAATGGTTCGAGACTCGGGCAGTCCGCCCGCTGGCGGCTCGCTCACCCTGACTCACCCTCACTCTGCAGCGCGGGTTGCTGGCGGCGGCCTGCCGCAGCCGCTGGAGAGGCGGCGGCGCCGCGGCCATGCGCGTCAGCAAGTTGGAGGCGGCTTTCCTGGCCTTGCCGCGGACCATCTCTGCAACAAGACAAAGACACTCCGTTACACTGTTACTCACTGTTACACCGGCCCTGCCAGGTGAGCAACCTCCGTAGCCTCGCCCTGTCCTCACCGCCTCCCTCCGCCCCCCCTCGCCGTCACCTTTTCACTTGCGTTTCCTTTTCCGCTCGCGCAGCCGCGGCGCGCGCCCCGCCCGCTGTGGGTGGCTGTTCGACTCGCTTCTGCGGTTGGCTCCTTTTCGGCGTTCCGCGTGGCGTGCGAGCTCGGCTGGCGGCGGCTTGCCCCGCTCGGCTTGACTGGCTGACTTGGCTGGCTTACTGGCTGGCTCGACTTCTTGCTCGGCTACTGGCTTGGCTCAACTTGGCGTTGAGCTGAATCTGCTGCTTGCGAACTCGGCTTGGCTTGGCTTGACTTGGCTTGGCTTGGCTTGGCTTGACTTGGCTTGGCTTGACTTAGCTTGGCTTTGCTTGGCTCGCATCAGCCCGAACACCACAACACGACACCCATATCAAAAAACACCGGTGAGCTTTGAGTTTCGAAAGTCTACGAGTCTACGAAGCGTTTACAGAGACCGAAAGTACCGAAAATAATTTCATAGCAGATGATGATGCGATAAACCGAAAAAAGATCGAAATCAATCAGCCTAAACAACGCTAAACAAGGTGTTCAAATTGAATGACTTTGAATCGCTCGTAGTTCAAAAATGAAACCATAGCACCGCCGCCTGCACCCCCGCTGCGGGCGGTGCACACATGCACAGGTCCACACACACATAGTGTAGAGGCACGTGGTGCATGTGGAATGCACTTCCGGGTGCAACTGTGTGCAGCCCTCGACTTCAACCCGCGGCACAGCTAGACACAGCTAGACGCAGCTAGACGCAGCTAGACGCAGCTAGACGCAGCTAGACGCAGCTAGACGCAGCTAGACGCAGCTAGACGCAGCTAGACGCAGCTAGACGCAGCTAGACGCAGCTAGACACAGCTAGACACAGCAAGACACAGCTAGACACAGCTAGACACAGCTAGGCGCAGCTAGACACAGCTAGACGCAGCTAGACGCAGCTAGACGCAGCTAGACGCAGCTAGACGCAGCTAGACACAGCTAGGCACAGCTAGACACAGCTAGGCACAGCTAGGCACGGCGAGCGCAGGCCGCGCGGTGCAGGGCGACGTCCTGCTTATGTCCGTCCGATGCATAATGCAGGCCGCTGTCGCCGAGGCGCCCCCGCCCTGACGGACACCCCGAAGAGCAGGCCGACGACGGACACGCCTCGGACTCGTCTCGGACACGCGGCCGGTCTTGACACGTAGGACGCCTTGCGGGGTAGGCAACCTCTGCCGAGGCGTGCACGCGTGTCTCGACGTTGCCTACACCGCAGGCGTCTTGCCGCCAGGCTGGCCAGGCCGGCCGCGCTCCCCGCCTTGACCCCTTCGGCCACCCTCGCGGGGTGGCTGTGCCTGGCCGTGCCTGGCGGGGCCGCGCTGCCCGCGTCGGGTCAGTGTCTCTTGGAGCGCGTCGGCTCAGGCGGCGCCACCTCGCCATTATCATTTGATTGGCCAATCGGACTCAACTCCAATCAAGGCGGAACGGCGGTGCGAGGATTACGCCCTGCAACAGGTCCACACACAAACACGGAGGAACCGGTCTTGCGCCTGTTACGCCGCCGCGCCGCGCCGCGCCCGCCCCGCCCCGCCCCGCCCCGCCACAGGACACGACCCCGGCCAAGTTCCTCACGAGAGTGAAAGCAGAGTGCTTGGCGGGTTCTGGCTCCGCTGCTCCGCTGCCTGCCCGCTCGGCTGCTCGGCGCTAGCGCGCGCTAGCACGGCGCTAGACCGGGGTCAGGGAACTCCAGCCCAGCCAGCCCCACCACTCTGCCGGGCAAAAGCGGAGGACTGCAGCGACCGTCGACAATCATTTCGACGAATACAGCACACGAGCCGATGAGTGGGATGAAAAAATGGCTGGTGATTGGCAAAATTTTATTTTAACAAATAGACGAGCAAAAGTAATGAACGAACGCCGAATAGAACGAACGAACAAACGACGAATGAAATAAATGAGTGAAATAGAATGAAAGATCACTGAATGACTGAATGACTGAATGAATGAATGAACTGGATGAATGAATGAATGAATGAATGAATGAATGAATGAATGAATGAATGAATGAATGAATGAATGAATGAATGAATGAATGAATGAATGAATGAATGATCCAAGGAATGCACTGACGGACGAATGCGCGGACAAATGGATGAACGGACGAATGAACGCTAGCGTGGACGAAAGGGAAGGTGACTGTTCCGGTCCGGTCGTCGACCCTGCCCTGAGAGAGAGAGAGACGGGGGGGAGGGGGAGGGGGGCGCTGATCGCGGAGGCTGCTCGCTGCCGGCTGTACCGGCCGCGCTGGCGTGGCTGGCGTGGCTCGGCGGAGTGACCGCCGCCCTGCAACGGCCGTACGGCACGGCCCGGTACGGCCGATGTGTAGCAGTGTACACAGTACACAGCCAGGTGGAATCAACAAGTAGTACAGTGCCGGCGCATAAAACGTAACGCTGGCGCCGCCCGCTCGCGTGCCGCGGGGGCGTGGGGGAGGGGAGGGCGGCCGCTTCAGTGAGAGTTATTTTCTCGTGTGGAACTAAATGCGGCGCTCTTCGTAACATTTTGAATGGCGGCAAAACGAGATTGTTCCGGTCCGTTCAGAATTGCACGGGGCATGAGCCACGGCCGTGCTGCGGGGCGTAGCGGGGGCGGGGCGATTCCGTTTCGTTTCAAAACCTCGCGGCGGCCCCCCGCGCCCCGCGCGCCCAGAGGAGAGGCCCGAAGGCGAGCCGAAGCGCGACAAACTGTTCGTGTGGCTGCGAGGCGCTGCGAGGCGCTGCCGAACCGCGCGCCGGCAGTGTGCGGCAGTGAGGCCGTTGACCCGCCGTCAGCTGTTGCTGCTGTTGCCACTCCCCTTGCCCCCCCCCCTTCCCCCGCCGCGGCCAAGCTCGCCGTGCCGCTGCCGGGCTGCCGTGCTGCAGCGCGTTGCGGTGGCGGTTCCCCGCCTTGGTAATCCAGCTCCTGTTTCCTCAGGTCACCGCCCGTCCGCCTGGACCAAAGTCGGAAGTGGACAAACTCCAACAAATTGCAACAAAAGACAAGTTGGCAGACTTGGGCGGCAACTTGGCGGATCCCGTACGCGCCGGTGGCGCATCACTGTACAAGCCTCTCGGCTTGGCGGGGACGGGGAACGCAGAGGCGGCCGCGCCTCCAGCGGCATAACTTGCTCGGCAGATGGCGCCGCGACGCCCCGCTATCAGTTTCCAGTGTCCACGTTATCGGAGTAACTGGACCGGCCGACCGCCCTGGACCGCCCAGCTCGGCGCCGTGCTTTTCACTCAGTTCGACCTTTCGAGAGATCGATCTCTCTGGGCGGTCCTCTTCCTCTCTTTCTCTTTGATTCGATCCAATGAAGGGAGGCCGCGTCTCTGAATGGCGCCTGAAGAGTCGCCGCTCTCGGGGGAGAGAATCACGGCAAGGAGGGCCTGCAGGCGGGCAGGGCGGGCAGGGCCGCGAGACAGACAGCTTTAGTGCTGAGCCGCGCCGTGCCTGGCTGGCTGGCTGGCGGGCCGGGCCGTGGCGGGGGTTGCTGACCCTTGGGACCCTAGGTGGGGCTGGCTCCGCGGCTCCGCCACCGACACCGCCACCGACACCGCCACCGGCACGCGGGCGAAGGCGAAGCGGCGAAGGCGTGGGGTGCCGCCGTGCAACGCCGTGCTACGCCGTGCCGCCACCTCCGACATCGTCGTCGAGCGGTTCAACCACCTCGAATTATATCATCGACGCCGCGATGCTCACGATGCTCCGCGACGCCGCGGTGGGAGGGAGCTTACAAAACAAAGAGCGCCGAGCACCGCCAGGGCGCGCCAAGCGAACACGGCCGAGCGTGCCCGTCACGCGGCTACCGGGAGAGCGATTCGCACCGTCTCCCTCGCACCCCTGGGGCACGCCCCGTGGGAGCGAGCGAGACGGAGCACCGCTTCGTACACTCGTTGGCAGGCGTAAAGCCAGGCGCGGCGGGCTGCGTCCGCTACGCGGCTACGCGCGGCGCCCCGGCGTGTCATTCACCCGGCCAGAGACAGATCTAGTAGCGCCGTGAGGTCTGCGCTCCACTCCGCGCCGAGGGCGCACCGCCTCTGGCCGCCCTGGCCGCCACCCCGCTCGCGAACTGCACGCTGCACTGCCCCGCACTGCACCCATCAGTCGGTCGCTTCCGATTGGGAGCGCAGCAGTGCGGCAGAGCGGAGCGGCGGGACGGGACGGGCGGCGCGACGGGGCGGTGCATCTCAGCGTTCAGGTTGGTCATGTCCGTCCGCGGGGGCCGCCACGTCCGGGCCTTCCCTCGCAGCCTCCAGCCTCCCGGCCAGGACGGCAGGGCAGGCCTGGACCGGCAGGGCAGGAAGGGACGTTCCCCTCGGCCCTCGCGGCGGCCGGTCGGTGACCAGCGACTGCCAGCGACCAGGCGCAGAGCACTTTCCCTGGCGGGGAGGGGGAGGGGGGGGGGGCGTTGCGCGCGCGAATCTCAGCTGAGCAGCAGGAAGCAGAGGCAGGCAGGCTCGCCTCGCCTAGCCAGCAAGCCAGCCTAGCCGGGCCGGTGCTCGGGGCGCGTCCGAACGGTCCGGACCGCGGCGCCCTTTGCTTCCCGGGAATGGGAAGGCGATGGGGTGGGGAATGACAGCAGCGGGGCGCCGCGCTGCCTCGCCGCCTCGCACGCAGCCCCCGCGCCGAGCGCCGAGCCCAGCAGCCCGCGGCAAGCGCTCCTGCGCGCGCGCTCTGTCGGCCGCGCCGCGAAGCTTGTGTCCTGCCGCGCCGCCCCGCCCGGCGAGTGGCGCCCTCCCAGCGGCGACGGATGCAACCACTTCGCCAGAGGCGCCAGCTGAGACTGGCTTTGAAAAAGAAACTGAACTACCTTCCGTTGACAGCTGTAGCTGTGCTGTACTGATGCTGCTGGGTTGACATTGACAACGCCAACACCAGCATCGCAAATGTAATATTGATTGAAGAGCAATCAGTTGGCAAACTTACGTTGATGTGGCAAAAATCTTTGGTATTCTTCTTTCGGGACTCTTGATGTCTGCGATTGACTTGTGCCAGCAGTTTCCAAATCAGACTGGCTTGCAGTTTCTTCATTCGATATGGGTTTCATTTCCTGAAAATAAAAGCAGTATACATAACTAAATTGGACGAAACTGTCAAACAAATAAAGCGTAGACAACAGACGATAAATAAAGTATAACACTGGTCTACGATATTGAATTTAAATTTTTGACATATTAAATAAAATGGAATATCAACTGTTTTCTTTATCGTCTCTTTGCTTCTTTGTTCTCCAAGATGCTGACGTCAATGCTAGGCATACAGTATCCATTCTAAAAACTGGTTCGTCCCTTTGGACGGAAATGTTGAAAACTTTTACTTACCGGTAATTCACCTCTTAAACGCTTAGCTATACTCTCATATTTTGCCATATTATCAAAAGGTTTTGCACTAGGTACTGGAAGTTTGACTTTGTTTGAATAAAGTGCTTTCATGGCATCAAACTTACTGGAAGTCACATCTAATGACTCGTCACTACTACTAGAACTTTCATGTTTTATGTTAGACATGTTGAAAAAGAGAAATTATAACATGATACTCAAAAACAAAAAAGATTGTATACAAATTACAAAGAAGAAATACTGGAATGCAATAGAAAACATAACCCTACTCTACTCAGCTGACGCTAGTATGAGAAACTTTAGACTACACAGTCCGAGGGTCTTTGCAATGTATGAGAGTTTTAGTGGCGCGTTATTTGAGTCATTTCAAATGCAAAAGCTGTAAGACTGAAGGGGGAAGCACGTGTGGTTTTATTTGATTTAGAGCCAACCTAGGGGTAACCAACTCAAGATTTTCTTGTACTCTGAATAATAAAATATTCAAGTTATACAGAACATATTGATTCCATGTGATTCCTTTTGAATATCTGATTATTTTTAATATCACTGATTGCGGGAAATCAAAAATGATTGTACTGATTTAGGGATAACTAGAGATTATTTAAGCGCCGGCCTCGCACAAGGTTGGCCAAAAAGTGATTGAATCTCCGAAAGTAGCTGTTTTTGCTGACTTTGGGCGGCCACTGCGTCCAATCTAGTTATCGCCTAAGGCCTCCCTCAACGCCCTAGTATTCTTAAGACTCTACTCTTATGCCCTGCCTCGGGAAGGCTTTGACCTCAACGACTTTGGAACCAGAATAATGTAATAATTTGTTGATTTTTTTCTCTGTTGCAGTGTCGTGGCCCCCTGAAGCTTTGTTCATGTTTTGGGTCAAGTTCCAGAAGTATCGTGATATTGCTAGGTAAGCGTCATAGTATGCCCAAGTCCAGGCCTTGTCATCGAGGAACCTCGCAGTCTAAAACGTTGTCGTTGTCGCAGGTCCTTGATCAAAACACCGCCACCGAGCGTGAGGTAACGAGGAGGTGAAGAAGGGCCCATCCCTCCCCGCCCCTCCCCCGACCACCCTCCCCGCCCCTCCCCGCCCCTCCCCGCCCCTGGCCCGGGGCGCCCACCACCCTGGCCGACATCCAGCAGCCGCTGTTGCGGGCGGCGCCTTCAGGGCGGCCGCTGCCACAGCCGCTGCCACTGCCGCTGCCGCCGTTCGTGGAGCCCAGCATGGCCTACATCGACGACGACCTGCTGTGGTGTCCCCCCGACGGGGATGACGCCGGCGGCATCGCCGATCTCGAACAGTGCCTGGTGCGTGACTGCGTGACGGCAAAGGGGGAAAAGGGCGGGAAAGGAAAAGCCAATGGGCTGCCGTTCAGTGGTCGGCTGGTGTTCTTCGGAAAATTTGACGCGACTGATCCTCTTGGTTATTTTGGGGCATTATCGGGAGTCCCTTCAAATAATGACAGTCCATGCCAAGACCAGTCACCAATGACTCAAAATTGTTCAATGCTTGATGTTAATTTATTTGAATAATGAGTGTCTGTCAACGTCTTAAAATTTTTGGTTTTGCTTGCAGGAGGCAGCGACAGTGAGTCAGACCAAGGCCAGTACAAACACCCAACTACAAGGACCAAACGGACAAACCGGACAAACTGTACAAAATGGAACAAATGGAACGAATGGACCAAACGGACCGAACGGGTCAACTGCAGACCAAACAAGACAAAATGTTACCGTTCAGCAGCAGCAGACCGGGCAAGTGCAGCCCCAACCGCAGAGTAGTCCAGCACAAGCAGGACCGCAGGGCGTTCCCCAAGGACCTCCACAGGGCGTTCCACAGGGCGTTCCACAGGGCGTTCCACAGGGCGTTCCACAGGGAGTCCCGCAGGGCGTTCCAAGCGCCCCACCTAGGACACCCCCAGGTTCTTTAGGCCTGGGGGAGCTAACGCAGTCAGACCTGTCAGGCCTAGTAGAAGACGGCACCGAAGACGACCCGGAGGACCTTTTTCAAGAACTAGGCGACTCCCACTTCGAGCTTGACAACTTCTTAATGGCCGAATTTGAGGAAAAAGTGCGGCAGGCTGCGCAACCCAATTTCAAGGTACGTCCACCAGTTTCAAAAACCTTATCTACGGTTTCGATGAGCTTTTCTTTAGTTCTTAAACGTGCATAAATGTCATCCTACACATTTCAAAATTTTAACTTTTCTCTTTTTTAGGAGGAGAACAACAACGAAGTAGTAGCTGGTAGCGGAAGTCAAGAAAGAAGTAGCAGAAGTAACACTAGCGGTAGTAGCGGAAATGCTAGTTCGGGCAGCAGAGGAACTAGCAACACCAGCAGCAGCAGTAGCAGCACCACAAACACCTCCAGTAGTAATGACCCCAACATGGCGGCCCTCCTCCACGAGATGAGGACCAACAGATCCAAGTTCAACATAGCGGCTGCCAACCCCTTACTAGCAGGTACGATTCGATCCTAAACCCTGGCAATCCCTTTCTCTCCCCCCCCCCCCTTCCGTAACCCAGCAGCTTCGAAAGTCTCCCTTCGTCGTATCGCCTGATCTATTTGTTCCCACCGACCGTACAAGAGAGTGTCTTGTTTCTTTTAGAAAAATTGTCATCACCAGCTAGCTGCGCTGTGAGCAGTAGTGCGTCGTGTACCGATGGATTTACCGACGGCCCCCGCCTGGACATCAAGATGGAGTGCACGGGGCTGGAGATGGACGACTGCCAAGGTAGGTGGGCCGAACCCATGGCGCACGTGGCACCGTCAGCCACGAAACAAAATACACGTAGAGAGCGCCAGAGAGGTAGGCAACCCAACGAACACTGTGAGCGCGGGGTAGAGCAAACTTCGGGCCTGGAAGGCACCGCCGCCACCGCACCCACCGCAGTGCGCGGACACGGGGATGCAGGCACAACGCCCGAGCGGTAGGCAACTCTCGCTACTCGAACAGCGCATGGAGTAGAGCGCACGGAGTAGAGCGCACGACGTCAGACGCCAGGCGTGACGCCTGAGGATAGGCATCTCTTGCTACTCGAAGTGCACGGAGTAGAGTGCATGGAGTAGAGCAGACGACGCCAGCCGCCTAAGGCTAGGCAACTCCTAATACTCTAAGCGCATGGAGATGGAGTAGAGCGCATGGAGTAGAGCGTGCGACGCCAGGCGCTACGCAATCACACAAGCGCCTAGGGGGTAGGCCACCAAGCTGACCCGTTCTAAACGCCTCAAAGGCTGGCGCTGCGCGCGGGGTAGAGCGCCTGGAGGGCAGGCAGCCCCACGCTCGCTCAGCGCGGAGTATATCAGGCCGCGGAATACGGCGGGGCCCCACCTTGACGTCACTGACGCTCTCTCAGGCGTATAGCGCCTGAAGGGTAGGCCACCACTGCGGCTCGCGCCGCGTGGGGTAGCTCCAGCTATACCGCTGCGGCCTTAATGGGCGGAGAGGGGATCTGCGATACCCCTCGCGTAACCAGGGCCCGCGTCACTCGGCGGCGATACCCTGCGCGTAACCAGGGCCCGCGTCACTCGGCGGCGATACCCCGCGCGTAACCAGGGCCCGCGTCACTCGACGGCGATACCCCGCGCGCGAAGTTCCCCAGCGCCACCGCGAGATGGCGCCGCCGTCCGCGCGGCGCTTGACCTAACCCAAGGCGCCCCGGATGGCGCGGGCTAGCGCGGCCGGGCCTCCGCGGCGTCGCGACGCCCCGCCCCGGCGTGCCCCGGCGCCGCTACGCCACGGCCACGCAACGCTCCGAGCCGACGGCGGGAGTATGTCCTCCGCGGAGCAACCCGGGGCGGACGGGCGGGGCGTCGCATCATTTCGACTATAATTAGTGAGTCGCCGAGTGTGTGACAACTTGTCGCGCTGCCAACCGAAAGGGAGCGTCACTAAGTCACCGCTGGCGTATGACGGCACTTTCGAAAAATGTGATGCCAAGAATTTGATCCGGTCGACCTTCCCTCCCCAGGGGCCGGTCGAGGCGGGGCAAGGTGGGGCAAGGCGAGGCCGGCTTCCTGTTAAAGAGTGCGAATACAAGTTGCAGCGGAAGGCCGAAAATACCGCCGGGCCATCGCCATGCCCTGGCCATGCCACGGGCCGCGGCTTTAGCCGTGGCTTTAGCTTGGCGTCAACCTGGCGGAAATGGACGGAGCGCAGCCAGCGCGCCCTGGCGGGTTCCTGCCGAACGAATAAACGCTTCCTGCACATGATGAATGCGTCCCCGCGCCGTGCGGTGCCGTGCGCCCTGCCCCCGACGGCCCCTCCCCTCCCCGCCCCCTCCGGGCCGCGCCGCCGCCGAATCGTCATGTTTGACAAATACGGGATTTATTTGAAGAGCGGAGCGGAACGACAAGTGCGTGGAAAAACAGGGATCGACGGGGAAGGAACTCACACCTGTGTGTTTGCCCGGCGTTCGACCTTTCAACTCGCGGGGCGCTCTCATTGTTTGTCCACCTTGCCCGAGTGGGCGAGAGCGCAGTCTTTTGTGCGTGTGCGGCGCGGCGTGCGGCGCTACCGCAATCTGGCCTTATCTCTGTGGAAGTGCACGGAGGTGACTTTCCCCGCGATTGACGTGTTCGACTCGCGTACGTCGGGGTCGTGGCGTGTCGTGCCGTGGAGGCAGGCAGGCCGGGGGCCGCGCCGGTCAAATGGACGCCCAATAGAGACGACTGCCGGCCCAATTTTTTTTCCCCACTCGACCACGCTCCGTCGCCGCCATTAGCCGGTCACTTACCTGCCGGCCCAGCGGCCTCTGTCCCGCGGCGGCCTGTCTCTCTCGTACCCACACGCGACGCCCCACGTGTGCGAGAGAGACAGCTCGCGGCCTGCTGAGGGACAGACGTGTCACCCTGTACTTGGCGTTTCGGATGCCATGGAGGGTTCTAGCCTCTAGCAGGCCTCTCTTTGCGGCCAACGCCCGGCATAGGGGCCGGCCGAGGCAGAGGCGGCGGTCGAAGACAACAAGCAACGAACGCGTTTTTCCGCGCGCCGCGACGTTTATTGAAAAACAAGGAAAACGTAGGGGGCGGGTCGGGCTGCCTGTTGGAACAGTTCCACGCGTCCAGCTACCACGTAACACCTTGCTTTATGGCAGCGGACAGGACACACACACACAGTGTGTTGTTTATTCGCGGAAGCCTGCTGTTCCCACGCGATTCCTCAACGCGACCCATGTACCCGGTGAAACACGGGCTGCCAAAATAACAAAACAAACGCGGAGCGTGCACGGCGTGCGCAGGGTTTGCGAAAAATGAGAGACCGCGGCACGATGCTGTTTTATACTTTGCGCCGCGGCGTTTTGCGTGAGATTCGGGCAGCTGCAGCGGAAGTGGACTGCACGGACCTGATAGTCCGATACGGCGCGTTGCGGCGCGTCCGATAGGGTGGGACGGGACGACCTGCCTCGTGGACGTGGACGCGTTGGCGCCGCCGGGACTCGAACCTCGACCCTCCAACCGCCGAACCGTCCAACCCACCACACTGTAGTGAAGGGAGGAAGGACGTGGCGGTAACCAACTGCGACACAACGCCGCCCTTGCCTAGCGGTTTCCGAAGAGAATTTCGTCACTGTCTCTCTCGCTCTCCATGCTGGACGCGTCATGAGTGCGACAGAGACAGAGCGACGAAACGACTCCTAGAAATCAGTCTGCTGGCTCGCGTACAGGCTTTTTCGTTACGGTAGTTCTTACAGTGGCCTTATCTTATCGGAATTTGCGATTCGCGCAGAGACTCGGTGCCCGTTTCCACGTAGGCGGTGACGATGGGTAAAGAGTCAGGTCGGGCGCGTTCGGAAAATTGGTCGGGTTGGCTGTGGCCGCACCGCGCCGTGCCGCTCTATCTGCCTACCTCAATCGTCGCTCGCGTGCGAACGCCATGGGCTGGTAGCTGGCGTAGCTAGCGGCGGCTGGCTGGCAAACATCTGGGGCAGGGCACGGCAGGACGTCGGGCATGGCACGGCGCGGCACGGCGGCCGTGACGCGTAGTGACGTAAATTCGGCTAGTCATGCGCTCGCACCGCCGCACAGTGGGCCAGAAGACCGGCGGAGGCGGACAAAACTCTTAGACGCGTTTTGAGCTCCAGAGTCGCGCAACAGGCCTCGAACGGATTGCTCTCCGAAACAGGAATCTATTGGTGGGGTCACACGTTCGGTTCGAGTCACATTTAGCGGCTGTAGAGCTGAAAACGCGTCTAGAGTTTTGTCCGCCTCCACCGGTCTTCTGGCCCACTGTGCGCCGTTGCTCTCGCTGTTCGCGCCGCTAACCGCCTCTTCGTTCTTGTTCGCCGCCCATCGGCCACCGGTCAATATCGTCCTGGATTTGTTCGAAAAGCACCTCGCCGAGGCGTTCCGGGCCGGGCCGGGCCCCGGCGGTTGCGTGTCCGCGGCGTGTCCGACTCGCTGTCCTGTCCGCGTCGGCCGCGCCGGTCGCTCTGGCGCCGCGGTCGCGGTCGCACTCATGGAACAACGGCACGGCCTCCAAGGTCGCGGCGAGGAAGCGCAGCAAGCGGAGCGAGTCCAGTTGGCCGGCGACCCGACAGTCCGACCGCCAGGGCCCCGCCAGGGCCCCGCCAGCCGCGACCTGTCCCACAGTCGTGAATTAGGAAAGGAAAATAAATATATCGCAGTGCCGCGGCGGCGGCGGCGCGGGGCGCTGGCATGGAGCGGTGGGCCGATTGTCGTCATGCGGCGCGGGCCGCGCAGGTTGGCTGGCAGGCAAGGGGGCGGCGGGGCTGGGGCCCACTGGGACCTGCCCGGGGCCCGGGCCTGCCTGGGCGAGGCGCGGCGGCCTTGCTCGCGACGGAGAACGTTGACCTAGTCTTTGGCGCAAACAGCCACGCCACCATGCGGCATAGGCCTGCCTGCCAGGCCTGCCTGCCAGCCCAGGCCCGGCCGTACGGGCTGTACCGCCTTGTGCCCTTCGGAAGGTCAGACCCATCTCTGCGTCCCGCCCCGTCCCGCCCCGTCCCGCCCCGCCCCCCGCCCTACGCCCTCGGGGCCCTCGGGCATTGCGGAATTACGTAAAGGGGCGAATGGCCTGCGCCGCTTCCCTGCGGCCTCCGCGCGGAGCGCCGCGCAACCAGTTTTGGCCGTTTCAAATTTAGCAGACGTTGCGGCCAAATTTCGCGGAGCGCATGTGGTGTCCGCGACCACGACGACGTCCACGACGGCGTCCACGGCGCGAGGGTCCTTTGTTGTTGGGCGTAACTCGCTGTAACAGCACCCCGCCGAGCCGTTACCCTCCCCGCGGTAGTACGTGCTGTAGTACTCGGCGTCCCGGCGCCCCCGCACCCACGCCGCCCCCGCCGCCCCCACCACCCCCGCGCCGCCCCCCGGACGCCCCGCAGACTTTATGACTGTGGTCGGGTGATGTGATGGTTGTTGATAGTATCGGATTGGCGCTGTGCCGCAACAAATTCGCCAGCATTACTTTGTCAGGCAAATCGCGGGGGAGACAATTCGTTTCTCTGTTTTCGTGTCTGTTTTAAAAAAGAAAGAACAGCGACAGATATGTTTTCATCGTTTCACACCTCTGGGGGGCAGGGAATCCCTGCCCATGGTGAACGAACTCTTGCCGCGCCTTGCGTGTGCGTCGCGGGTGCCGGATGGGGGTCTTCCTTAAACTTCGTAATTAGTCTTCAACCCAGGTCACGTCGGACTAAAAAAAAATACTGCAATTTAGAACTAGTGGTAGTTGGTCTGGATTTGATGTGGTAATTTTTCCCCGCGTCCCCC